ACGTTAAATATAACACCACCATTCACCAAATACAATACCACCACAACCTAGGATAGGCACAAAATGCCTCAAAATAGCACCACAAGCCCCACATTTTCGGCCAAAAAGGGCCCTCCACCAAACTACACCGCAAAAATTATTTCTAGGCCTACAAATCATCTAAACAACTCACACAATTGAGGTATAAGAAATACCCAACCATTTTAGCACTAAACAAATCCACAAGAAGCAAATACAACAATAAAAACAGAAAAGAAGCAAAAATTGAAAGAAAATCTACACTATTCCTACCTAGGGTTTAACTAAACTAGTTTAGACTAAATTACACTAATTAGAAGAAGAAATAGAATCAAAAAGAAGAGAACACTTACTTGATGAAGGTTGGAAGGGGTGGGTAGTGGTGAGAGGAGGTGTGGAGAAGATGACAATGGGGGTTTTTGGGAGTGAGAGAGGGATTTGAGAGAGGAAGAGAAGAGAGGATTTGGGTTTTATTTGGGGGGCGTTCTGTTTCTGAATAGGGAGGGGGAATAATTGTTTTGGGGTGGGTGCAGGGTTAGGTGAATTAGAAAGGGGGGTGAATTAAAAGAATTTCTGCATACCTGGGCCCGACGGGGTCTGCCGCAGTCGCGGTTGAACCGCGATAGGCAAAGTTCAGAGAGGGGTTCCCACCGAGGTTCTACCGCGGTCGCGATGGAAACGCGGTGAACGAAGTTCAGAGGGAGTCTCTGACCGCGGTTTGACCGCGGTCGCGGTGGAACCGCGGTCTGGGCAGTTGTCTAATTTTTTTTGGTTTGTTTTTTCATATAATGTGTTATACTTACAACAATTTCGTGGGTTGCCTCCCACGCAGCGCCTGATTTAACGTCGCGGCACGACGCAGGATGAGCACATTTAAGGCTCGCTAGACCTCTGTGGTTCAGTCAAGTACAACTCAGACACTTCCTTTTTCTCGCTCATGCCCACATATGGCTTCAATCTTTGACCATTGACTCTGAATGTACGAGAGTCATTCTCTATGGCAATCTCAACAACTCCTGAAGGGAAAATTTCAACTACTCGAAATGGTCCAGACCATCGTGACTTAAGTTTACTTAGGAACAGACGTAGTCTTGAGTTGTATAGCAATGCCATGTCCCCAGGTTTGAAATTTCTCTCAATAATGTTCTGGTCGTGCAACCTCTTTATTCTCTCCTTGTACAATTTTGTTCTCTCAAAAGCAAGATATCTGAACTCCTCGAGCTCATGCAATTCAGTGACTCTTGACGTGCCCGCAGCTTCCATGTCTAAGTTCAGCTGTTTCAATGCGCACCACGCTTTATGTTCAAGTTCCACTGGCAGGTGGCAGGCCTTCCCAACACCAACTTGTATGGTGACATACCAATTGGAGTTTTGAAGGCAGTTCTGTAAGCCCAGAGGGCATCATCTAGCTTCCTCTCCCAATCATTTCTTGTGGCGTTCACAATTTTGGTTAACACACTCTTGATTTCTCTGTTGGACACTTCAACCTGTCCACTAGTTTGCGAGTGGTAAGGAGTAGCCACCTTGTGGCATATATCATACTTAGCAAGCAACTTTTCAAAGGCCCTGTTGCAGAAATAAGTGCCTCCATCACTGATAATTGCTCGCAGTGTCCCAAAGCGGGTAAATATGTTCTTCTTTAGAAATCCCACCACCACTTTTGCATCATTGGTGGGTAACGCCGCAGTTTCCACCCATTTGGACGCATAGTCTACAACAACAATAATGTACTTATTGCCATAGGAGATGACGAAGGGACCCATGAAGTCAATCCCCCAGACATCAAACACTTCCACCTCTTGAATTGGGTTCATGGGCATCTCGTGGCGTCGGGAAATGGTCCCGGTCCGCTGACATTCATTGCAGCCCTTCACCCATAGGTGCGCATCTTTAAACACTGTTGGCCAGAAGAATCCAGCCTCTAGCACCTTTGCCGCTTTTCTAACCCCTCCAAAGTGTCCACCATACACCGATGCATGACAAGCCTGCAAAACAGAAATTGCTCTATCTCGTAGACGCATCTCCGGATCATATTATCAAGGCATATTCTAAACAGATAAGGTTCATCCCAGTAATACTGGCGGCTTTCACGAAAAAATCTTTTCCTTTGGACCGATGATAGGTCGTGAGGAAATATACCACTGGCCAGGTAATTAGCAAAGTCTGCATACCATGGTGCTTCCTGATGAGTGGTGGCGAGCAGTTGTTCATCTGGAAAAGTTTCCAGTATTTCCTCAACCTCAACTACATTTTAAGCTCCCTCAAGTCGTGATAGATGATCAGCGACTTGATTCTCCATGCCCTTACGGTCACAAATCTCAAGATCGAACTCTTGCAATAGCAACACCCAACGAATCAGGCGTGGCTTAGATTCTTTCTTTTCTATTAAGTACCTGAGAGCTACATGGTCAGTATATACAATTACCTTGGACCCTATCAGGTAGGATTGGAATTTGTCAAACGCGAACACTATAGCCAACATCTCCTTTTCAGTCACAGTGTAGTTCAACTGGGCTCCACTCAGCGTTCTACTAGCATAGTAGATTGGGTGCATCAGTTTGTCTTTCCACTGGCCTAGCACTGCTCCCACTGCATAGTTACTGGCATCACACATTAGTTCAAACGGTTGCTCCCAGTTGGGGGCAACAATGATGGGTGTTGTGACCAGTCTCTTTTTCAACTCCTCAAATGCTACCCTGCAATCATCAGAAAACAAAAACGCGTGATCTTTTTCTAACAACTTACAGAGAAGGTTGGCGATTTTGGAGAAGTCTTTTATGAACCTCCGGTAAAAACCGACATGTCCAAGGAAGCTTCTGATGGCTTTGACTGAAGTTGGTGGAGGCATCTTTGCTATTACATCAACTTTCGCGCGATCCAGCTCTATTCCCTTGCTTGACACCCGGTGCCCCAAGACTATGCCTTCTTGTACCATGAAATGGCACTTCTCCCAGTTCAGAACCAAGTTAGTCTCGATGCACTGTTTCAGCACACGTGTCAGATTTATCAGGCACTCATCAAATGAATTCCCCACCACTGAGAAGTCATCCATGAACACCTCCATTATGTCCTCAACCATGTCAGTGAATATGGCCATCATGCACCATTGGAATGTGGTAGGTGCATTGCATAGGTCAAAGGGCATCCGTCTAAAGGCATAAATGTCATACGGGCATGTGAAGGAGGTCTTCTCTCTGTCCTCCGGTGCAATGAAGATCTGATTGTACCCTGAGTACTCATCCAGAAAACAGAAGTGTGACCTCCCTGTCAATCTGTCCAACATCTGATCAATGAAGGGAAGTGGGAAATGGTCTTTCCGGGTGGCTAGATTCAACTTTCGATAGTCCATACAAATTCTCCAGCCTGTGACGGTTCTTGTTGAGATCAATTCATTATTGTCATTTGTCACAACCGTCATGCCACCCTTTTTAGGAACACATTGCACTGGGCTCACCCAGCTGCTGTCAGAGATTGGGAAAATAATTCCCGCATCCAACCACTTTATCACCTCCTTCTTCACCACTTCCTTCATGTTGGGGTTCAGCCTCCTCTGATGTTCCCTGGAAGGTTTGTGCCCCTCTTCCAGCAGAATCTTGTGCATGCAGTAGGCGGGGCTGATCCCCCTGATGTCTGCCATGGTCCACCCCATGGCAGTTTTGCACTCCTTTAGTACCTGTAAAAGTTTTTGAACCTGCACATCTAACAAACTAGATGAGATAATAACAGGTAATGTGGAGTCAGGTCCCATAAATTCATACCTGAGGTGGGCTGGCAATGGCTTTAACTCCAGCTTTGGTGGTTCTTCAATGGATGGCTTAGCTGGAGGAGTTTCTCTCTTTTCTAAGTGCAAGGGCTCAAACTCTAGATTTCTCTCCCAGAACCCTCTACCTTCCAATGCCAACACCCATTCCGCCAAATCCTCACCATTCACTTCATCTAAGTTCATCAAACATGCAGCAAGGGGGTCCTCAATTGTCAACACCTCATCATCGGACTCTACAATTACATCCACGGCATCAATAAGAGAGCAATTGGCGAACTTGCTTGGTCGCCTCATAGACTTCTGCACATTGAATGTTATTTCCTCATCATTGAGTCTCATTTTGAGCTCCCTAGGCTCACAGTCAATCAGAGTTCACCCCGTGGACAAGAATGGTCTTCCTAAGATTATAGGAATATCTTCATCCACTTTGCAATCCAAGATCACAAAATCTGCAGGGAACACAAATTTTCCCACCTGAATAAACACATCATCAAGGATACCGAATGGACGCTTCACAGACCTGTCGGCCAGCTGCAACAACATGGAGGTGGGTCTAGCTCTCCCAATGCCCAACCTCTTATAGATAGCCAGGGGCATAAGATTAATGCTGGCCCCTAAATCACAAAGCGCCTTAGCAAAGGCGAAATTCCCAATAGTGCATGGAATTGTAAAGCTACCTGGATCGGGCAGCTTTTCAGCAATAGGTCTCGTCACCACTGCACTATAGGTCTGAGTAAGTGTAACCGTAGCCAAGTCTTGAAAATCAAATATCCGGGACATCAAGTACTTCATCATTTTTGCGTACCCAGGCATCTCCTTTAAAGCTTCAATCAGTGGAATATTTACCTGGATTTGTTTGAGGATTTCAAAGAACTTTTTATACTGCTCCTCCTTTTGATGCTTGGCCAGCCTCTGTGGAAAGGGTGCAGGAGGTCTCTTCTTCCCAATCACTTGGGACTTCTCTTTATCAGCTACTATTTCAACTACTGGCTCTTCAACTGGCTCAGCTACTTTCTCGGTCTCCTGCTGAATGTTCTTTTCTTCCTGAGCAGGCTGGACTGTCACCTCTATCAGTATCGTAGACTCATCCAGCTCAATGGTCACTGGAATGAATTTCTAAGCCTGTATATTTTCTCGAGCTCTCTCTTGTTCTACATCTAGATCCCTGCCATTACAGAGACTCACCGCCATCAGTTGCTTTAGGCCGTGATCTTTTGGATTAATCTGGGTGTCTGCAGGTAATGTCCCCTGAGGACGATTGTTCAGAGACACTGAAATTTGACCCAATTGCACTTCAATATTTTTGATTGCTGCGTCATGTGCATCTACTCTTTCATTTATTTTTGCATTAGACCCAATAACCTGCTGCATCATTGCTTCAAGTCTAGTGAACCCATCTTCTTGCCTTCCACCATGAGCAACTCCTGTCACCGAGAATGGAAATAATAACAACCTGATTGCTTCCGGAGTTACGTTGGGTTGCCTTTGAGTTTTGCAAATCAACAGGAAGTTCTTCAAGTGCTGCTGAGGATCTTCGGCTGGTGTCCCAGAAAATAGTCCCTTGTTTTGCAGCAAGTTCAGCATGTTGTTCGTGATCTGGAACGATTCAACTTGTATCGCGGGCACAACAATGGCAGTGGCCAGATTGTCAGCTGTGGGTTGTGCCCAATCATATAGTGTAGCCTCAGGCACAGGAGGTGTCATATCTCTGACGTTTCCGTTGACGTTGTCTACGTTACCCATGTCAATTTCGAGTTTGTGTGTTTGATGAGGTTGTTGAAGTATTTTGTTGGCACGTTTCAATATCCGGAATGTTTTCTCGGGGTCTGAGAGTCCTTCAAGTAGTTCTCCAGTCCTCGTAGAGTTTCTAGGCATACACCTGTGCAACCACGTCAACAACCGTCAAAAATTTCAATCAAAAATTTGGTGTAGAGAAAACTGACTATACTAAGAATTTTTGTATTTCTATCAATGGTAATTGATAATTCCGTTAACTCCCCGGCAACGGTGCCAAAATTTGATCATGCCCAACTATGCCTTATAAAATGGACCCTGCGGACGTTGCAAATATAACCTGAGTATTCTGCCCAGAGTCGAATCCACAGAGAGTTAACCTATCAATCACTATCTTTAGACCCACTAAACTCTTGAGAACCAATTTCCCAAACGTTTGAATCACAGTTGATGGTGTTTTCAATAACTAAAATTGCAAGTAAATAAACAGCTGTAAACTAAGGATGCTAAGGTTGTAAACAATAATGAGAAAACGCTAAGGTAATGACTTCCCCTATTGATGGAATCCCTTCTGTTTATGCTTCATACAAATTGACCAACACCTCTCTATCAATCATGAACGCTCATCTTACCGTAAATCTCTCCCGAGTAATCACAGTAATATACTCAATGCACTCTCCCGAGATACACTAGCTAGCTCTAATTAACACGGTTCACTTTAGATTGCACTCAAGGCTTCGTTATCCCTAATCCCGCCTTTAAACCC